TTTGAAGTGCTCCATTGGTACATTCTATAAATATGCCTCGAACGTATAAAACGACTATTAGAAGATTCCTGGAATCTTCGAATGTTCTTGACGTATATTCCTAGAATGTTAATGGAACGTTTTTGTGCTATTTGGGTGGATGGTGAGTTTGCTAGATCCTTCAAGATTGCGTTGTTGTTACTTGCCCATTTACGAATCTTGAAGCCGCCTTTATCCAACATGGGTATTATTTGATTACGGATTTCCACTGTTAGTGTTTGACGCATCTAGCAAGACTACCAGCGGTGTATCTTTAAATGATTCTCTCATGGTAGGACCTGTCATACAGCAAGAGAGTACATCGATCTTAATACGTTTTCGAAGCTATGAGTATGTTTTGACAGGAGACATAGAGAAGATGTACAGGCAGATTCTTATTGACGAGAAGCAAACCTCATTACAAAGGATATTGTGGAGAGATAATCCGGCAGGCACTATTGAAACATACGAATTACACTTCCTCGCTGTTCGCTCCTGTAATGAGGTCGTCCACATAAAAATCTCTGCGCGCTGCCTGCGCTCCTTTGGGGAACTGATCTGCTTCTAGATCAGCTAATTGCTGAATAACCTTAGTGGCAACAAATGATGCTGAAGCCGTTCCGTATGTCAAGGTAAGTAATTCGTATGTTTCAATAGTGCCTGCCGGATTATCTCTCCACAATATCCTTTGTAATGAGGTTTGCTTCTCGTCAATAAGAATCTGCCTGTACATCTTCTCTATGTCTCCTGTCAAAACATACTCATAGCTTCGAAAACGTATTAAGATCGATGTACTCTCTTGCTGTATGACAGGTCCTACCATGAGAGAATCATTAAAAGATACACCGCTGGTAGTCTTGCTAGATGCGTCAAACACTACCCTCAGCTTCGTAGTGGTACTGCTGTCCTTGATGACACAATGATGTGGCAGGTAGAAATGCGGCAAACTGCTATTGACAGGCTCTTGAAGTTTCCGCGCATGGCCTAATTCCAGATATTCACGCATGAATTGGTTGTATTCAATCCTACGCTGTGGTTCCTGCGTAAGCCGTCTTTCCAAGCTGCGCAGCCGTTGTGTTGCTACCCAGATAGCCAGTATGCTCAAGCAACGTATGTCAATAAAATGCTAGCAACTGATCCTAGCTCTTTGCTAGGAATATGAATTCAATTTTTGAGTGGTTTTAGTATAGCTAGCATAATGTGAACATATTGTCATAATTAAATGTATTGCTAAAAGAGAGATATTGAATGGACATACTGTTAGCAAAGACTAAGCATACAATGTTTTCAATTTGCTAACAGATGTAAACATGTTGTTATGATTATGTCAGCATTAAAGTGGAAATGTTATTTGCATGTTCCAAACATTATGCTAGCATTAAATGCTTGGTCACATTATTGCTCATGCTTGCTAGTTCCGAGCATTATGCTAGCATTAGA